TCACCAGGTTTGCACACACTGCAGGAGGGATTTTGGCCCTCCTGCAGTCACATTAGCTGCAGAATATGCTAACGCCAAGTTCAACAGGCAAGTGTTCAAAAAAAAGTTTGAAGTCGGTATAGATCCATCCTTGAGCTGTTTGGTTGATAGATTTCATTTGGTTGTGAAGTTACAGCCTAGTGTTGTGTGATGGTAGATGAAAATGCAATGTCAAATGCTGTTCTCATTTTCATTGTCACATGGTTAGAAAATGGCATTTTAATCTTAATTTTGACTTAAAAAGAACATGAGCACATGGACATGTAAATGCAAGAGACTGGGGGCGCTCTTTCACTCATAGCATTTGAATAAAGTCCACTATAGATTGCATTTTCATTAAAATTTTTACCTAAATAACACATACGTATGTGGAAAATAATAATGTTATTGTGGGATTACATTTTCATTTTCAAGTTTGCATGATAATTTAAATTTAGTCCCCTATATGCTTCCATATAAATACACAAAAGTAAAAATTTAAGAAGAAAAAATGGATTGACGTATCAAAATTGTTTTGATAAAGTTTGATCAGCGATGCCGTAGATAATCCCACCAAAGTTTCAGGTCGATTGGCGAAACCGTCTGGGACGAGTTTTCAAAAATAGGTTTTAGAGAAAAGTGATAAAAAGTCATATAATTGACATTTTTAGAGCTGAAGACCACTGGAGCAAAGCTCCAGCTGAATCCAGAGATTAAAATAATGAAAGAAGATTGACTCTAAACAAGTTAATTGAGATAATTGCAAGTTGATTGTTATAGCGCCACCATGAGGTCTATGAGGGCCATTTTTTTTGCCTGAGTAGTGGGTGGAATTTGCAACCTACGTGCCAATTTTGGTGAGTTTTCGTCCAGCAGTTTTTGCTGCCCAAACACTTTCAGCGGAGAAAAAGAAGAAGAAGAAGAAGATTCAGAACAAAACCAATAGCTTCGCTGCTTGGATCCCTAATGAGAAATGACAATTGAAAGTAGATGGCTCTATCCTCCTAGTCATCTCTAGACAATATCATAATAAATTTCACTATTATAGTACAGAGGTCCCAATCTATATTGACTGACCATTATGTGATCAACATTGTTGCTACGCCATAGGTTATCTTAAACTCACCTGAAGGTCATAAATCCTGAGGATCTCTGCAGGGCCTCTGCTCTATTGGCCTTCTGCCTGTACAGGGAAATCAGTTGTGGTGTGTATCTCTCAAGTTTGCAGTAGAATTGGCTGCATAGGTTCAACATTTGTAAAGCGATGAACTCAACAAACACCTGCAAACACATAAATGTATGCAGATTAATGGTTTCCAACTTGGGCCTTGACAGAAAAACATAATGCATCAATTACTTGTTTTAAGCAGGATGGCTGACTATATGGCAAAAAGAATATAATTTTTACCTGTGAAATGGGCATGGACCACTGCACTGACAAGAAAAGAAAATGCAGGGTCATCCTGCAAATTTCTTTAACCTAACTTAGGTTTTGCTGCATCAAAATGAAAGATTATGTGGCTACTGAGAACTGAGTTAGCCAATCAAATATATTTTAAACAAGACTAATTGTATAATATTGCATCATTTAGCATCTATCTGATGCTAAATATCTGAAGCAACATTCCCACACCAACACAGACCCTTGTGTTTTTTTTCTCAACAGTGCCATTTTTGGTCTGAACAGGGTTGAGGCAGAATTTCAGTCAGGTACTAAATAGTTTAAGAACCATAAAGGAGTCATTCAACCATCTATAAGCTTTTATACAGCTTTTAACAGATCCTACTGTGAAAAATGTTTATATTTAATGCTGTAATAGAGCTACAGTTTTCTCAGAAATGTATGAGAATTTTAAATAGCTAAATATACATATTGAACATTGCCCACTCATGTTCAATGTCCCCAACCAGCCAGAAAAGCTCTGCCAGAGGTTTGAGTTGAAGATCTCACAGACAGGGGCCTCCTCCAGACGTTCCCAGTTCACTCGCACTAATTGTTTGGGCTAACCGGGTCTGTCCAGAGTCTTCCCCCACCCCCTGACCCAACTCACCACCAGGTGGTGATTAATTGACAGCTCCGCCCCTTTCTTCACCCGAGTGTCCGAAACATGCGGCCTCAAATCAGATGAAACGATTACAAAATCGATCATCAATCTTCGGCCTAGGGTGCTCTGGTACCACGCACACTTATGAGCATCCTTATGTTCGAACATGGTGTTCGTTATAGACAATCCATGACTAGCACAGAAGTCTAACAACAAACACCCACTCAGGTTCAGATCAGGGGGGCCGTTCCTCCCAATCACGCCTTTCCAGGTTTCTCCATCATTGCCCACATGCGCGTTGAAGTCTCCCAGCAGAACTATGGAGTCCCCTACAGGAGCCCCATACAGAACTCCATTCAGGGTCTCCAAGAAGGCTGAATACTCTGAACTGCTGTTTGGTGCATATGCACAAACAACAGTCAGAGTTTTCCCCCCTAGTACCCGAAGGCGTAGGGAGGCGACCCTCTCGTTCACTGGAGTGAACTCCAATGCAGCGGCGCTCAGCCGGGGGCTTGTGAGTATCCCCACACCTGCCTGGCACCTCACACCCTGAGCAACTCCAGAGAAGAATAGTGTCCATAACCTATCAAGGAGTACGGTTCCAGAACCGAGACTGTGCGTGTAGGTCAGCCCCACCAGATCTAACTGGTAGCGCTCCATCTTCAAGTTCCACGTCCCCAGAGCCAGCCTCTGCTGCCTGGGTCTCGTCCATCGAGGCCCCTGACCTTCACCACCACCCATGTGGCAGCGCACCCGACCCCCGTGGTTCTTCCTATGGATGGTGGGTCCAAAGGATGGAGAGGGGGGTGCCACGTTGCTTTTTCAGGCTATGCCTGGCTGGGATCCGTGGCAAACCCGGCCACCAGGCGCTCGCCGGGGAGCCCTCCCTCTGGGCCTGGCTCCAGACGGGGGCCCCGGGCTTCCTCCGGACAGGGTCTCTTCTCCTCTTCCTCGTTTTTTCATCAGGTGTCTTAATGAACCATTCTCAGTCTGACCCCTCACCTGGAACCACTTTGCCTTGGGAGACCCTACCAGGAGCACTAGGATCCAGACAACACAGCCTCCAGGCTCACCGGGGCACGCAAACCTCTCCACCACGATAAGGTGACGGTTCTCCAGATCTACGTGATCCATTTTTCACGTCAGCAGGTGTACCGCATGCCAGCTTTTTAATTACGTAGCTTATCAATTTCATCGGTACTATACCAGTGTTTCATTGTTGACATCGTCTGATGCCAATTTTGAAGACATCACTCAAACCTAATTTGAATACATTGATTTACTCTGCAAGTAATTTTGTGACTGCATTTCCTTTGTGTGTTTCTTTTTTTAGGTCGTGATATAGGTTTTAGATTTCATTCATAATGGTCTTAAAAAGGTCTTAAAAAGTCTTAAATATGACCAGGTGAAACCTAAAGAAACCATGATATTGTTCCATTATCTCGTCTACCTGACTTAAAAATTTGCATAGTGTGGACTTCTTATTTTAAACAATCTTTATTAGCTGTCTTTATTTGCTTATGATTCCATAAAACTCCACATTTAAAGCTCCATTTTATATTATTCAAGTAAAAGTGCTGCTAATGGAATAAAATTATACATAGTCGCTTTTTCCACAAAACACAGTAAAGTAAGTAGTAAAAGGAAATTTTATTTAGCTCAAGAGATTCAAGTTATCACTTAACACAAAAACATCTCATTAAGAATCTGGAAATAGAGAATGTCCAACATTACTGCAAAAAAAAAATCAAAATTGTTGCTGAGCTTTATGCAAGATGTGCCTTATTTTGTGTCTGTTAAATGTAGGAATGACAGATGTTTAAGGTTTTGATACTACTAAAGGGAACTTGAATTGTAATAATGGAGTGGTATTTATATTTGTGAGGACTACTATCTGAAAATGGGCATTTTGTAAATTTCAAGTTGACTATTAGTAATTTTGTTGTGTGAGTATACATTAATATTTGAGTCTAGCACAGTACATTTTTTTGAGTAGATTTCCCTCAGAGTATACATTGTGCACAATTACATTTATTGAGTAAAGAATTGGTGGAATTTAATTTTAATAAGCATCAGTGAATCAATGTAATTTATCATGCAGAAATTAAATGTTTTTTACAAATGTATAATAACTAAGTTAAGGTTTACTCAAAAATTTTATTACCACTACTATAAAAGTTTGAGGTAATCAGTTTGGGTGCCATGACAGAATATATAGCACAGGTTACTGTTAAAACACTCTTACATGCAGTGATGGCTTTTAGAACAGCTGCTGTATTTGCTATTTCTGATGAACAGAGCTCGAGGTGAACTGGCTCACGATTCAACACATCATACAGAGGCGAGACATCGTGCACGTATCCACTTTTCTCATGCAGCCGAACTATCCAGTTATTCTGACAATAATGAAATATGACAAGTGCGAGAAACAGTCTTTACTGTGTTTGATAGGAGCAATACTCAAAGTAAAACATTTTATTGATTAAAAATTCTTTTGTTTTAGTATAGAATGACCCTTTCAGGGTTGAAGGGGCTAAAAATAAATGTATGTGTTTTTCATGTACGCACTCTGGACATCTTTTGGGAATAATCTTTACACAAAATAACACACAGACATAATTTTTTTTGTGTTGCCTGGAAACCTTGTTTGTGTGGTAACTCGGTGCCATTGATGTGCAACTTGCAGCATTTCTGTTTTTGCAGAGTGGTTCTTTTTCTAAATGTGCCATAGTGCTGTCAGAGTGGTGAGGATGTTTTCTTTATTTGCTTGTATTTTCTTAAGTTGCAGTGCACTGGGTTCTCTCCATCCCTGAATATGCCTCTTCTGCCCTGTGTGTTTACAGTAGTAGCTCACTGTATGATGTGACTGACTGCCTACAGTAAAGTGGAACCATTACCACAAGGACAGGAGGCTGAAGACAATGACCAGACAACAAGTATCAGAAAATGTGCACTGATGTATTAGTCACTTTGTGCAAATCACGTTACAGACATTCATGTTACGCTGCCATAAAACAGTGACAGCGCTATCATCATAAGAGCATTTCAAAAGGAAAATACCATTGCTTTTTCACATTTGGATTATTTACACAATTAAAACTCAGTTATATAGGGTTAATACATAAAAATCCTGTGATAATATTTTCAGTGTACAATATCAGAGCACATACCTGTACACAAAAGCAAAGTTGTTTACAACTTAGTTACTTAGTTAAGTCTTATAGCAAGAAGAAATGGTCAAAACATGAAAATGGCGACGTTTGTCTGAATTGTACTTTAACTGGAAATATTTTCCTAGATTAAATTCAGTTTTGCCCACGAGATGGAAAGTGCAGCCAAATATGAAGGGATTTATTTGTCTTTTTGCCTCAAGTTCAATTTTCAAATTGCATTTGAGCAGCAGTTGCCAACTATGCCAATATAAACAGTATACCTGTGTTTGAATCTGTTCCTGTTAAATTCACAGTGATGGATGATTGAATACTTCCTCTATAGTCGATGGAATCTGAAATTTAAAGGGATCCTGAATGCCAGGATATGTGTTACCATATATCACAAACAAAGAGTATATAATGCTCAAAAGCCTTCTTGAATCCAAAGTAACCTTGGGGAAAATATGAGTGCACACTATGAAACTTGTTGACAAAACAGTCCAACCTCAAGGTCCATTTAGTTCCAGAGCTTTAAGTCGTATCACATGGTCTTCCTCCACAGATAGGGTTTGCCCAGTTGTCCTCTTTGTTTTCTTTCCAAGGTCAAGAGTGATCTTTGAAACTCAACACTAAAACTGGTATTTCTCTTCAATATGTATATCAAAATTCTAGAAAACACTTAAAATACAAACATTTTGACAAAATACATTACCTTTAAAATGTGCTTTTACATGCATCTCAAATGACCATACATCTCAAATATCACAATGCCCAGACATGATCAGCGCTGATAAAGTGCAAAATTACAATCTCCAACAGTAAACCCTACGGTATAAACTGCAACATAGGTATTGCAGTATTAAATGGCTTTTAAGGATATGCTTATAAAAAACTACTTTTCCATGAGCTCGTCTTTAGTCATATTTAGCCATCATCAGACGATCCTCCAGAACGCTGCACAAGCTCTGTTAAATGCATGAAATGTATCAGTATACATGGTGAAATGTGCTAAGCTGTCCAATAACACTGATAATGGACTTGCGAAATGGAGAGAAAAACACTATGAGTCCTTTGGGCCAAGAAGCTTTGTGGGCGTATGCAGGTAATTTACATAAACCTCCTGAAGGGTTTTTCTTCTGAGTTATAGCTTGACGCCAAATAGAAAGTGAAGGAAAGTGTAGTTTTTATATTAGCAAACATCACTGATGAACTGGCATCAGTAAGTAACGGCATTCGTTTAGAGGTGCTCAGGCAAAATGTTTACTTCACTACATTCAGGTCTAACAGCAGCTCATTCATTTACTCCTCTTTAATACCACATTAAACACTAGTTTTTTTTTACCATATATATATATATTTATATATATATATACACTATCTTTAGCCCTCCTCAACAGTATATTTACATATTACACTGCAGACTATATGTGCTGATCAAAATAATACACCATAAGTGCCCTCGCTTTGTAATAAAATATCCCAAGCTCTTCTGATTTCATGTCCAGTCTGTTGATAGAAGAGGCAACCCAGAAAACTCCAGCAAAAATATTGGTTAATAGTAATTGGTTCTTAAAATGTAAAATTCATACATGTGTGCAGAAACACAAATACACAAAATCGTATTTAGCTTGCATTAAATCCATTTAGTGTGATATGTGAGATCTTTAATATCTCGTTCTATGACTTAGCAACATAAAATTCTACCATCATACGCCAGTGTTACACCAGTGTGTCCTCTTCAAGTGTTATCCCATATCACCATAACCGTCGTCCAGTGTAGTTAATTGGGGCTGTGGGCATCTAGAAGAGAGAGACATACAAGTAGTGAGCAAGTACGCAAATACTCCTTGTGGTTGGTTATTTCACAAATAAGACAGACTTACTGTTCCACCATTCATGACCAGAGCCATCTCAGTGGGCTGGTAGACGTGGCCTCTGAAGGCGATGCCCGGACGGACACTCCCGTGGCTGCTGTGGTATGTTCCAGTACGGAGAGCTGACAGACCAAGCAAGGTAAAGCACAAACACACACACACACACACACACACACAAATTACAGGTGCCATGCTAACAAGTGATACATCTTCTAGATCATAATGATTCCACGTTCAAGATATGATAGATGACTGTGCTACTGAAATGATACATGCATCAAACTCAAGGTGAAAACATAATTTTCCAACCAGCTGGGTCCCTTAGACGCCCTTCACACACAGTAAACCCAGTTTATCTAATTATTATGGTTGATTAGACCTCTTTCCAGGAGTGACATCTCTTGTTAGCTTTGTTAGGCTGGATGAATTATAATACTTTTACCATGTACCTGCAGGCACTTATCATGCCTGCAGGTACATGGTGGATGAATTATAATACTTTTACCATGTACCTGCAGGCACTTATCATGCCTGCAGGTACATGGAGTTTGTTGAACTCACACTCTCATGGAGTTGTGAAGTGGGAGGAGCTATTTCAGGCAGAAGTAAAAGTCCCATTCATTTTTTGCCATCCAAAAGTAATGTGAATCACAGTTGGAGCATGTCTACAGCATAAAATCTGCCACTGAGTGTGGTTGAAAATAGTAGATGTCTTAGTAGTAATAGAGTCTTTGATAAAATGTTAAAGCTACTGTACAAGCCTGTGGACATAAAAACGTCAAGGTAAAAGTTAACCATGACTCCTAATGTGTCTCTTGGCAAGAAACATCCAGTCACCTAGCCTAGAACTCTGTGAAGTGCGCTGCTAACTGTGAATGGAAAACATCCAGTCACCTAGCCTAGAACTCTGTGAAGTGCGCTGCTAACTGTGAATGGAAAACATCCAGTCACCTAGCCTAGAACTCTGTGAAGTGCGCTGCTAACTGTGAATGGAAAACATCCAGTCACCTAGCCTAGAACTCTGTGAAGTGCGCTGCTAACTGTGAATGGAAAACATCCAGTCACCTAGCCTAGAACTCTGTGAAGTGCGCTGCTAACTGTGAATGGAAAACATCCAGTCACCTAGCCTAGAACTCTGTGAAGTGCGCTGCTAACTGTGAATGGAAAACATCCAGTCACCTAGCCTAGAACTCTGTGAAGTGCGCTGCTAACTGTGAATGGAAAACATCCAGTCACCTAGCCTAGAACTCTGTGAAGTGCGCTGCTAACTGTGAATGGAAGCTCAAGGTTACAGTGTTGAGAAAACTAAAAACACGCTGCAGTTTTAATTACTTCACTTTTATTTTTTGGGTCTCTTTGGTTTTTGAATTTTCTACTGTCCTGATTTGCACATTTGGCTTTTTCTCTGTGGTAACAGAGGCGAAGGCTCAGGGTATTGTAGAATTTACAGTTGTCCGCCACGCGAAACTGATGGGCCAAACATGATTTCTCAGAAAAGAAGTTGAAATAAATACAACAGGAGCCGGAACATAAACCTATTTGTTTGTTATCCAGGACAGACCCATGTCTCTGTGTTAAGCAACATTGATCCAATTGTTGAAAGAAATATTTAAATAGAAAAACAGGATGGGAAAAGCATTTTCGCAACACTTGTCTGTCCCACTTCACAACTTGATTGTTAGTACAGCTCCACCGATATTCAAACTGAACAAAGTCCTAATCCAAAAGAGTAATTGAGTGTGCAGGGATTCATTTAAAGTGAGTCTTATGGCTGTGTCCAAATTCACTCCCTTGTTCTCTCATTCACTGCTCTTTATGATAGACGCTCATTCGTTTACTAAATAGTGAGTAAATTGAGAGTTCAGACACAATCATCGCCATTTTGGGTTATCACTTAAAGCCGTAGCCTCCTTTTTTAAAAGCAGAGCATTGAATTGGGGGATTGTCAGCGAGAAAGCAGCGTAGAAGCCATGCGCACTACTTTTCTTCATTCCATTGTGGGAATATTTTAGGGCACTATATTATGAATACATTTCACGCTGAGAATTTGGACACTCAAATAAAATGACGGACAGTAACTTATTTTAAGGAAAATTCCAGTATTTGTCAACCTTATTAACATAGTTACAGCCATCACTCCAATCCATTATATTAACACTTACCTAACAAGCTATACTGCAGAGATTACAAAGACAGGGGGTTTACTGTCCATCAGGGTCAGTAACAAAAGCCTTAACTCCATTCTTGCAACCACAAAACACTGACTTCCTTACACCATGTTACATGACTTTTCTCTGTGCATGACTCTGCTGTTGTGCAAGTTGGACTCTGTCCCATTTGTTGCAGCATAAATTCCCCTCCTCAGTCAGCCATATATTGGCCAACCAATATCGTCAGTCCCCTGAAGATGCTGTTCATGATTACATTCTGCCACTGCCTCCACTCTTTGTTTATCCTGGTTCATCATAGTTTAGCTCTTCATCTGTGCATTTGGCTTCAGATAAATATGGAGAGCAATCGAAGTGAAATGACTCACACATTTCCCTGTAAGCCTGTTGTATAATCTCGCATTTCGAAAAGGTTAATTTGGATTTTGGATTGTGTACAGTAAGCTAAAAATGAGACACACTTTGCTGTACATAAACCTACATGGCATTCATGGTAGTATGGCAATATGGTAGCCATCAAGCAAGTTGAACAGGACATTGATCTGCAGTGCAGTGGATGAACTTTTAAAAAGCATATCGTGATTGCAGTTGGATAAATAAGAATTAAATAAGCCCACCCAGCAACAAGTCGAAACAATCCAATACAACAGACTGCACAACTACTAGCACTTGAAATATCTCAGCTGTTTGTGAGAATTATTAATCAAACCAAAAATGCACTCTTCATCTATTTAAATAATTCCATACATTTTTTATTTGATTTTATGTCTTTTTATTTGATTAAAGATTAGATTAATTTAGAATTAAATGTATGATTTAATTTACTTTCAATTTATAATAATTTTATTTAACTTTTGATTTAAATTAATGATTAATTTTTTAAAGATCTAATCCAATCTAGTTTGTCTTGTCTTGTTAGTCTTTTCTTGCTCCTATGTATCGCTTGTATGTGTACTGATATTTTATTTCAGAATTCAGAATTCAGAAGAGACACAGAAAGGTCACCTGTCAACCAATCACTGTAGTAAACTAATCCATGAAACATTATGTCATCCTTTTCTCTTTGTGAGGAAACTCTGCTATGAATCTTGTGTGATATTTAGTGACATTGGTTGTCACTATTGAAATCCCTTGTAAATGACATAAATTCAGCCAAACGTTCAGATTCAAAATATAGCTTTGGTTGCAGTATTAAGTCAAAACTGTCAGACTCAGTGAAAGTTAGTTACTTTCATAGTCTTCTCTTTTTTCATTCATCAGCTGAACGCAAAAAAAAATGTAATTCACCATTTTTGGAAAGAAATCAAGGTAACAACCATTGTTGTTGTCTTCCATAAAACACTTAAATGACAAACATATTTTGCTGTCTAGCATGTTGAAAATACGACCTAATGAGTTTTAAAGGCAGCGTTCGACCCAGGTTGATAAAAAAAAATCCGTCTTTGTTATATAAACATGCACACACACACACACACATTACATAAGCCTACTTGCACCGTGCTCCTCCATGGAAAAGGCCTGGTTTTCTGGGAAGGGTCGGTGTGTGTGTGCAGGGAGCTCATCTCCAAAATGTGGAGGAGGGGACGTGTGACTTGTGTCGAAGAAGTCTTGCGTGTTGGATTGTGGAGGTTTCCGGAGACACAGGTGGGCCTCTGGAATAGCATGGAACAGCAGCAGGATCCAGCCCTGAATGACTAGGGCCACAGCCAGCGCAGGCTCATCCAACACCTTTACATCCTTTTTTCCTCCTCCTCCTCCTAACCTTTCCCCTTTCCCCTTTACCCTCAGCGTTTGGCTGCCATAAAGATAAAACCCTAGCCAGGCCACCCATAGCAATGCTGATGCCAGACTGGACAGGAAGATCCAGACGGCGTTACACTTCCATCTCCGTTTTTCACTCTCTCCTTCTCTATCTTCTTCACTCCCACCTGCTCCCTCTGACCCCATCTCTCCCCCACACAGCACCACCCCCAGAGAAAGCCCCATGGCTATGAGGAGCAGACCCAGGGTGTAGCTGCATGTCAGAGCAAAGTCCAAAGGCGGATATTCGCAGGCTGGGTGACGCTCCCTAACTACAGTCAGCAAGACCCATTCAGCAGAGATGATCCCCTGAACCAAGGCCAAGGCCAGACCGAGCGCTGCCAGGGAGCTGCCTGATGGGCTCGTTTTCCCCGCCACCAGCCTCCTGAGCCTCACACCCTGCACAAGCAAGCTGGAGAAGCAGAGGGCAAAAAGGGGCCCCCAGAAGGCCCTGCGGACCACACAGAGCGCCTGGTTCTTCCCAACCAGGAAAGCCAGAGAGATGGAGAAGAGCCCGAGGAGCGTGCCCAGGAGCAGGAGAAGAGGTCCCATTCCGGAGCGCCTGGCGGGGTCGGAAATGGAGCGCAGCTTAACTAGGAGGAGCACAGCGAGGACCAGAGAGCTGACGCCACCGCTGCAGGCCACGGCCTCCAGAACCACACCCCAGACTGACTCCAGGTCACACAGCACTCTGTACGGAGGGTCCACATCCTCACTGCATCCCCGAGGAGGAGGAGACGGGTGGGAAGAGCCATAGCCAATCAGTGACAAGAGGCAGATGATGATAGGGCTGACAGCCATCTTAGAGACACAGGGACAGAAAATATGTAGTGTGAGGACAGATGGAGAACGGGTTAAAGGAGAGAAAGAAAGGGTGAAAGGTACACAGTGATAAACAAGAGGAGTGGTATTGTGGAGAAAGATCCAGAGAGGAGGGATGCAGGAAGGTGAATGTAGTGACAAATTACACATTATTAATTCAGACAGCATCTTCATGATTCACAGTATACAACAGAAACTCAGTGTACATTAAGATCCAATAAGCCTGTTAAATATCAGATTAATATTTTTCTCTCTTTTTCAGTCAAACACACTCACACAGAACAGAACTGCTTTTAGCACTGGGCACTGGTTTCCATGGGAACGGGAAACAGCGTGGGCTGACTACATCGCACACTGGGCTTTGGAGAAGTCGAGTTTCAGTACCAAAAAGGACAGAAAAATGCACGCACACACACACACGCTCACAATGTTTGTACTTTGTGGGGACCCTCACTGACATAACGTATTCTCTACACTTACCCCAGCCCTAAATGAACCTCATTTTCAAAATGTTCCCAGTGTCATGGTCTGAAACTCAAATTGGTTCTCAGAATGACTGATGAATCAGGGCACACACATGTACATACAAAATACCACAGCATTAAAATGATTTCACTCAATTTAGTCATGATTTCAAACTCACCTCAGATCAGTTCTTGAAATTTTGTCTATTTACAGTGAAGAGGCGTCATAATTTTCCAGTCTGCATCCTTCAACTAGTTAAAGTCTTTTTTAATCCCAGTTAACAAAATCCTTGAGGCAGCAGAAACAAAGCAGTTTCCATTTTGTCTTTGAAAACGTCTCTTGCGTCGCTCTCTGCGCTCACAGCTCCCACTATTTTAAAGTACAAAATAGCACACTTTGTGAGACCAATAATGCCCTGCTGCTGCAGTGACACGTCCGGCTGCTCCAACACGGATCCACAATTATGATGCATGCCTGGATACTTCACACACCCACATAGTCAAATATATCTTCTGTCTCTCTTTCACTCTTCTCTCTCACTGTTTCTGCCTCTCTCTCGCTCCCTCTGTCCTCCTCTTTCTGTTCATTCTGTCTGCATGTCTGTGTTTCTCTCTCCCTGCTTCACGCTGAATCTGCGGAGGTGTCAACAGAGATGCAATCCCAGCTTTACTTCTCCTCACCCACACACAGAGAGTATGATTTGCTGATGTACCTGTCTAACCTGGAGGAAAATAGGAAGTCCGTACAGTAAATAAGCATGGTAATTTGCAGCCAATCCAGTATTAGTCACTCGTTTGCACATCTCGATGTTATTTCCTGCCTTCAGGCTCCCACATCTTCCTCATACTGCTTATACAATTCATCCTCACACCCAGAGCTGTGGGAGATGTCGATTCATCTTTCATCACCAAAGCAAGGTCTCTTCAGCACTAAGATGTCAGCTGACAGTGAGTGTTGCAAGGAGTGACGATGGGCTTTGGATGGGTAGGGGCAGATGGTCAGTCTAAACACAGGTGAGCTCTGTGGCCACATGGCCGTCTTAGTAGAGAGTGTTACATAATACCACTGAAGGCATGATTCAGCCAAGTCTCCCTTTAGAGTGGAGTAATCTCCTCCCCTGGTGATGGGTTCTTGTGGGGTTGGAGAATGACACAACATGACGGAAACCATGACAAGGAGCATCCATTGCACTGGCTAATTGAGTCAGTTTGGATCAGTGTGATGGAGATTGGTGCTGACAGACACTAGTGAGCTCAGTGACAGAGATGGTACACAAATAAACTCACAGGCAAACAGATGTAAAGGAGTGCACACCTGCACCCTGCTGTGTCCGTAAAGACAGTCTAATCCAGATCCTCACATGCATGTAAGTAGCAGGAAGATGACTGCTTTCTGTTAGTGATAGCAGAAGAATGGAGTGATTACAGTCAATTACATGTGAACTGATCCAGGTGGGTACTTCAGAGTTTTCCAGGTAAAGTTCATTGTCATTATTTTATTTAACATTTATAAAATGTAAGAATGTATAAGAAAGACAATAGGCATTTTTACACAGCAGACATTTTGACTGCTGGACCATCTTTATTGTCTTTGAAAAAACAATAAAGATGGGGTGGGAATCTCGGCTCTTTCTATCTTTTGTCCACTTTCTGGCCTTGGCTGCAGGAGCAAATGATTGTGACCTGTGTGATGTAGTCTCTTGTTTTTCTTTTTTGTGTTCTGATGGGTCAGGTTGTGCTAGCTTCATGTCTGTGTGGTTAGGGTAATTCAATTCAATTAAATTTCATTTATATAGCGCCAATTCACTACAACAGTTATCTCATAGTGGGTTTTTTTTCATGTAGAGCAGGTCTAGACTGTACTCTTTGTGCTATTATTTACAGAGACCCAACAATTCCCACCATGAGCAAGCACTTGGCGACACATGCCACAGAAAACTTCCTTTTAAGATGCAGAAACCTCAAGTAGAACCATGGCTCAGGGTGGGAAGCCATCTGCCTCGACTGGTTCAGGTTGAGAGAAAGAGAGAGAGAGTACACACACACACATATTACTGTCATTTATTTATTTTATTTTTTTATATATTTTTATTTTTTAACAATTTCAATTCAATTCAATTTTATTTATATAGCGCCAAATCACAACAACAGTTATCTCACAGCGCTTTTCATAAAAGAGCAGGTCTAGACCGTACTCTGATGATATTTACAGAAGCCCAACAGTTCCCACCAAGAGCAAGCACTAGGCGACAGAGGCAAGGAAAAACTTCCTTTTAAGAGGCAGAAACCTCGAGCAGAACCATGGCTCAGGGTGGGCGGCCATCTGCCTCGACCGGTTGGGGGTGAGAGAGAGAGAGAGAGAGAGAGAGAGAGAGAGAGAGAGAGAAAGAGAGAGAGAGAAAAAGAGAGGGATGTAAGGAGAGAGAGAGGGGAGGGAGGCAGCCTACACAATATACACACAGAGGTTAAGACAGTGAAGGTGATATATATATTTTAACACACACAGTTTTATTTATTTATTTTATTTTTGATATATATATATTTTAACACACGCTTACTGTTTTATTTTTTTTTTTAAAACACACACACACTTACTGTTTTATTTTTTATTTTATTAACACACACACACGCTTACTGTCTTATTTATTTATTTTATTTTCAATATTTTTTAAACACACACGCTTACTTTACTTTACTTTACTTACGTTTTGTTTATTTATTTATTTGTAATATATTTAAATTTTTTTCACTCACGCTTACTGTTTTATTTATTCATTTTATTTTAATATTTCTTTTTTTTTAACACAAACACACATACGCTTTGATTACTTTACGCTTTAATTACTTGTTTAATGAAATGTATGGGGTTGATTGTTCTTATGTTGTATGTATGATGCTTTGGCAATGTTGTTGTTACACATTCATGCCAATAAAGCTAATTTGAATTGGGGGGGGGGGGGGGGGAGAGCTGTGGGGTAGGAGGAGCAGCCAACACAATATCCACAAAGAAGTACAGACAGTAAAGGTAATAGTGGTACAAACTGAAAATGAATAACAGATATTAGTAATGTTAATGATAATAATAACAATAATAATAACAATGGGACTAGTAATAACAATTGTAGCAGAGGGTGTCGAGCAGGAACACGGGGGCAGCAGGTGACACAACCACAGATCCAGACTCCACAGCTCCAGAGCCAGAAACACCCAGACAGGAGGAGAGAGAGAGGGACGAGAAAGCACAAGAAAGAGTACATGTAATGCCTTGTTTGCACCTTGCACTATGTGCTGTTTCACATCTTGGCCAGGACATCCTTGTAAAAGAGATTAAAATCTCAATGGATTTCTTTCCTGGTAAAATAAAGGTTAAATAAATAAAAAAAGACTATGGGAAAGGGAATAAGTCAAGTTAGTAACATGGATTAATGGGATGAGGTTGCACACATATGGAGATAAAGAGGATTAGAGCGCCACTCAATACATCATGGGAAGTACCCTAGCAGTCTAGGCCTATAGCAGCATAACTAAAACCCTAGACAAACTTGCTTTTAACTACGCGTTCGCATACACAAGATGGCTGCGACGTGTATCCTGCGTTCATTTGGAGCGCAGGTCGTGCATCTCTCCAGAAATTAACTCTACACGTCTGCGAGATGCAGTTCAGCACATGAACGTGGGGGTAGTATGTCAATCTGACCAGCAGGTCAGCAGCAATCTACTGTTCCACACACCAGCCCAGGTGGTCGCGGTATGCCAACAGTTTGCCAACAGCCATTAAACACAAAAGAAGTCAGTGGCAGATGGTTCAGGTCTCACCTGAGCAAGCCCTAAATATAAGCTTTATAAAAGAGAACCCTATTCTTAAATGTGGAGTCGGTGTCTGCCTCCTGAACCCAAACTGGGATCTGGTTCCACAGGGACCGGGTTCCACAGGAGAGGAGCTTGATAGCTGCACGCTCTGGCTCTCATTTTACTTTTGGAGACTCTAGGAATTCACAAGTAACCCTGCATTCTGGGAGCGCAGTGCTCTGGTGGGGTAGTAAGGCACTATGAGCTCTTTAAGATAAGATGGTGCCTTAACATTAAGAGCTTTGTAGGTGAGTGGAAGGATTTTAAATTCTATTCTGGATTTTACTGGAAGCCAATGCAGAGAAGCTAAGACTGGAGAAATATAATCTATTTTCTTGGTTCCTGTGTCTTAATTGAGCAGAATGATAAAAAGGAATTGCAGTAATCCAGCCTAGAAGAACCAAATGCACTAGTTTTTCCAGCATCATTTTTAGACAGGATGTTCCGGATTTTTGCAATATTACGTAGGTGAAAAAAGGCGGTCCTTGAAATTTGCTTAATATGAGCGTTAAAGGACATGTCCTGATCAAAAATAACTCAGAGAGTCCTCACAGTGATGCTGGAGGAGTATCTATATCTTTAGATAATGCATCACAGAGATGTTTGGGCCCCAGTACAAAAACTTTAGTTTTATCTGAGTTTAACATCAGGAAATTACAGGTCATCCAGGTTTTAACATCCTGAAGGCACATTTAGAGTTAGCTTCTGTAACTGATGTTTCATCTGGCTTGATCGATAGATATAATTGAGTATCATCTGCATAAAAATGAAAGTTTATGGAGTGTTTCCTGATAATATTTAAAGCCAATGAAATATTCCAGTCTCTATAATAGGATCTGATGGTCAAAGGTATCAAAAGCAGCACTAAGATCTAATAAAACCAGTACAGAGGCAAGTCATTTGTCTGATGCAATTAGGAGGTCATTAGTAATTTTCACCAGTGTTGTCTAAATCCTGATCCTCAAATAAACTATTGATATGTAGAGTCATACAACTAAGGGCACAACTTCTTTAAGCAGCCTAGTTGGGATGGGGCTCAATAGAGCTGTGACTCTGCCATCCTGGCTACAGTGCTGAAAAGAAACCTGGGGTTTTCTATTTTCCTCTATTAATGACGAGTAATACGCTGCTGTGGCATTACGGAGGGCTTTCCTATAATTTTTAAGATTATCTTGCCAGAAAAAATGAGAACTTTCAAGTTTGGTGGGACGCAAAGTTTCCGCGATATTCTCCTTAATTCTCAAGTTTCATATATACCATGGAGCTAACCAGGGCTGGACTGGTGGTTCTATGTAAAATCAGACGTTGAGCACCCCCATATTGCCAAAATGGCATGATCTTTGTTTTGCTGCGAAGCTTTGACTGTGAGAATCAGTGGAATCAGGCTCTGCCCATCGTAGCATCGAATCTTCGACTATTGGGGGCCACCAGGCATTCAACTTACGCTGTAAATTTCCAGCTAAATTAAGGCTTATTGTTGACCCTTTTCTCTCTGATCGCCTGCCATTCACCGGTCTTGTGCAGAGTTTTGCGTGCATTCCGTGCTACCAACAACTGTGTGCACGTCGTGGTTCCTCGCAGGTCTTTTTCAAGTAGCCAGCTATTTCAAACGATATAATATTCTTTGTGGGGTTCACCAACGGTGATAAAGTATCCGAAAGTCCCACGAGGTGCGGACAACTCGGCACAACACCAGTGAAGCTGGGGCTCCGGCTCTTCAACAAGTGTTCCTCTTCTGCCACTACACACATACATGCTATACCTACACATGCGCACTGACGACCCAGGGTTAGGTTTACAATTTTGGATTTATTCACGCACTTTAAAAACTTTTATTGAAAGTTTTTTTCTTTTTACATATTTATTTACAGCATTAAACATTGAAATGTATGTTGTAATAGGCTGTATATTAACTTATTGGTTCTATGTAAAATCAGACGTTGAGCACCCCCATATCGCCAAAATGGCATGATCCTTGTTTCGCTGCGAAGCTTTGACTGTGAGATTGACAGTCGAATCAGGCTCCGCCCATCGAAGCATCGAATCTTCGACTATTGGGGGTCAGCCCTAATGTGAGTATTAA